CTAGATTGATAGTTAAGATGAATAATAGACTGTTTGAGGGTCTCCTGGACACAGGAGCTGATGTAACTATCATATCTAATAAATCTTGGCCTCAAAGATGGCCCCTGCATGAGGTAAATGTTCAATTCTTAGGGATTGGAACCCTGTCTCAGGTAAAACAAAGCACGAGATGGATTGAATGTATAGGACCAGAAGGACAGAGAGGGAGGTTGAGACCATATGTGGCTGATGTAGTGATAAATTTATGGGGTCATGATCTATTACAGCAATGGAATACACAGATTAACATTCCTCCAGTATTAGATAGGAACCATAGACGACCTCATGATTGTGGAAAAAATACTGTTAAGTACTATACAAGACAGATACCAAATATCCAGGCAATACAAAAACAGAATACAAGTACTAAACAAACAGAGGAACCAAAAGCCCTACCTTTAAAATGGCTAAAAGAGGAACCTGTCTGGGTAGGACAATGGCCTATGACCTCTGAGAAGTTAAAAGCTTTAAAAAGCCTGGTTCAGGAACAGCTAAATGCTGGACATATTGAGGAATCAACCAGACCTTGGAATTCTCCTGTATTTGTGATCAAAAGAAATCTGGTAAATGGAGAATGCTTACAGACCTGAGAGCCATCAATAAAGTTATCCAGCCAATGGGCTCTCTATAGCCTGGAATGCCCTTGCCTTCATTGATACCCAAAGAATGGCCTATTATAGTTATTGATTTAAAAGATTGCTTCTTCACTATACCTTTACAAAAACAAGACAAAGAAAAATTTGCCTCACGGTACCTAATTACAATAATTCTCAACCGGTAAAGAGATATCAATGGAAGGTTTTGCCACAGGGAATGCTAAATAGCCCCACCCTGTGCCAATATTTCGTACAAAAACCGTTAGAAATAATTCGTAAACAGTTTCCACAATCCATAATCTATCATTACATGGATGATATATTGTTAGCTGACTCTAAAGGAAAAATATTAGAAAAAATGTTTGAAAAAATAAAGTTTTACCTCGCTGGGAATTACAAATTGCACCTAAAAAAATACAAAAAGGAGAGTCTATCAACTACTTAAGATATAAAATAGGTCTACAGAAAATTAGACCACAAAAAGTACAGATCAAAAGAGATCGCTACCAGACTCTTAATGATCTTCAAAAATTACTAGGAGAGATTTCTCAACTACAAACCATAATTGGAGTAAAAGGACATGATTTTAAAAACTTGAAAATGGCCCTAAAAGGAGATAAGGACTTAAATAGTCCACAAATACTATCAGTTGAAGCTGAAAAAAAATTAAAATGGGTAAAAAAGAGGATACTAGAAACACATGTGGACCGTGTGGATCCAAACCTAGACTGTATTCTGGTTATATTATCATCTAGAAAATATCCTTCAGGGATTTTGATACAGAGAGAAGATATCATATTAGAATGGATATTCCTACCACATAAACAGAATAAAAAACTAAAAAGATCTCTGACTTGATTATAAAAAGTAAATTAAGACTTGTCAGCTAATAGAAAGGGACCCAACAAAACAAACATCACCCTAAAACCGGTTTGAGACTGTTTTGCTCGAGACAACTCATGACTAGCTAGCTGTAATGGTGCACCTTTTTATTACACCCTGGCCAGAGTTTCAAATAGAACTACAGTCAAGAATTTTCTGCCACACAGTGACTAGCTACATATGTCACAGCCAGTTCTGTTGAGAAATTTGGTTGCTAAAAATTTTCTTCCTACAGGATCCATTGGAGCAATCATCGTCCCATTTCAGCAGGAAGTAACCTTAAGATAACGACGCCCCCTTTCCCTACCCTTGGAATTTTGGGATAATAGTCATCGTCTTTGGGTTGGTTTTAGTTATCTGGGATTGGGTGATGCTTACACTTGGGTTTATCTTTTAGACAGGAATAAGGAATGTTTGGGAAAGGTATGGTTTAGATGGGATATAGGTAGATTAGCCTATTTTCTTGAGAATTTGAGTAAGAATGAGATAGTATTTTACAGCTTACATTGTTGTGTATTCTTATGTGGTAAGCTATTAAGTTTATATTTTGTTATATTGTGTTAAATCTTTCCACTTACAATGTCTTATGCACATTATTTTTTTTTACCATATTCTATGTATGTATACTTTTCTTGTATTCAAGACATTTTGTATAATGATACAATTTGGGATATTTATCTTGCTGCCCTTTATAGTTCTACCTCTTGTCTTGACACTTATACTTTACCTCTATTTTAGGGATTTACATGTATGTATATGTAAATAGTTATATTGTTTAAGTATTTGTTCCTGCTTTACTCAGGGAAGTTTTAATCAGTCTTTTTAGCTAAGTTCCCGAGTATTACAGATTATCTTCACTCACATTTCCTGTACCTATGAGATTAGTCAGATATAGATGCTTAATCTTCAATCACTTCATAGACATGCAGAACATGGCATTTAAATGTTTTAATATTAGTACTCCATTGACATGAGACACTGTTGCTCCTGACAGCACCGTGCACTTTCCCGAAAATATGTTGGACACTGTTGTTGCTCCTGCTGGAGTTCAATCTCGCCTCACTTAATGGCCTGTTGGGCATAGAACTGTCCCCCACCTTGACCACTGATTTGGACATGCAGTCCTATGTGCTTGCAGGAGACAAATATAGAAGACTGCTTGACCTTGCCAAGTCAGGGTAAGACAGCCATTCTACCTCCCTGCTGTTGTTGTGGTCTGTCAAGTTCTCTTGGCCTTAGCCAAATCTGGGTGTACCAACGTGGCTGTGAGACCTAGGGTGACTGTTCAGGTGGCTTGCTGTTTCTGTCCTTGCTGCACCTTTTGGAAGTTGTCCATCCGCATTTCCTGTCTACTCTAGTATTGTTAATTTCCTTCTCAGGTCTTGATGAGGTTGAAGATTAAACTATCACAACTATTATTCTCTCTTCCTAGTTAGATATATTAGGTACTAGACTTACGTTTTCCAGCTTAGGACAACTCTATTGTAAACTCCATTATGCCCTCACCCTAGGACTAGATATGTAGGTCATTTTGTTCTCAATTTTCCTTTCCTTAGAGCACACTTGTTATTCACTGTTTTGTATATAGTTTTGTATTAAGCCTAAATCTTTTCTTTAGACTAAAAGGGGAATTGTAGTGAGATAGTTCTGTGGCACTGACCACGCCCATTGGGGGTGGAGCCATGGGCGGAGTGACCTGTGGAAGGAGGTCGGAGGGGGCCAGGAAAGGCGCTCTCTTTCTGGCCTGACTCGGACAGGAGAGGATCGGGTTGAATTTCCTGGTGTTCATCTGTCTAGGTTGTAAGTTATTTCTCCCTGAATAAACATCTATTCGGCCTATTTGTTTATCCTGATCCTTATTTAACCGTGTTACCCATCACATGCTCAGAAACCTGACTCGCCTGCCCCAGTCCCTTTAGGAGGCTCTGCTCCTAGGATGTTCTCCATAACAAGAGTGGGAGAAACTGCCATGTGCACAGCATTCGACATCTGGGATCCATAACAGAAAGCAAGAGAAAATGCTGAACTGTCCTTTAGGTCCCAAATGTGGTCTGTCTTGGTGAATGTCCTATGGGAACTGGCACAGAATCTCTGTGCTTCAAGTATTGCTTGCAAGCTGTACATCTCAACAATGTTAGTTTTTCTGATAATGCTGCTGACTTCAGCTGCACCACTCTTATTTTCTGTCTGCTGCACTCCTTTCTATAGCTGGGGATTAACAATGGATGATTTTACTTCATTCTGAAGGGTTTGCACTTTTGTTGGAGGTGATTGGATGCTTTGAAATCCCATGCTCAGGCTTTAAGAACTACCGTGAATCCTCTAGAGATTTAATTTATTCATCGTCACTCGTCACCTAATTTGTGTACTCCATATCACTTTTCTTACACCGACCTATTTTCTTTCTGAAATCCATACTACTTGAGATTTCCTTGGATTGGCATTAGCATAGTGTAGCTATATCCATCTCTTATACTATTTTGTCTTTAATTCATTCATTTTTTTAAAATAATAACTTACTTTAGAATAGGGTCACAGTATATAGCCAAGTTGATGTTGAACTTACCAACATCCTATTAACAGACCTCCTCTGTGCTAGTATTACAGACATAATGTAACACCCAAGGCTATCAGAAACCAGGCTTCAAACAAACAACTTTGATAGACTACCACATAGATCTATTGTGGGACAATGACAGGAACACTTCCTAGTGGCGTCAGTAACAGTTGACAACAGAAGACAATGACATCTGACTTGTACACAGAACTAAGAACAAGTATTATTCCAGTGGAAACGTGAATCAAAATATCTCTGAATGGAACACCAGACTCAGGCTTGAACAGGCTGACCGCCAACATCAAAGACCAGTACAGACACTGGACAAGACCTTACATATGTCTGAGACCTTTTGATCACATGTCCTAGAGGAACAGGTTTACTGAAAGAGCAGTGATGAGGGAGTAGCAAGATGACACAGGTGGGGAGGGACTGTGTGAAAGCCCAGGGTTGACAGAGCAACAACTGTGCACAGCCTCACTGGCCTCGACGCAGCAGTCAACTGGCAATGTACAATGACACAGCAAACATGACTTTATTTTCTCAGTATAGTTTTACTCATGTTTAGTAACAAGCCAATCACTTACTCTTGCAAGAAGTTGCACAATCATAAAAAGTGCTTAATGTCAAGAAAGAAGCATGAATGTGTAGCTCAGTGAAAACTAAAGTTCAATTAGGAATGGAGGTTTCCCAGCCATGTTGGAAGGGAAGGGGAGAGATGAGAAGGAAGACACACAGTGTGTGTGTGTATGTGTGTGTGTGGGCTTTTTGCTGCTCATGACCTGCTTGTATTTTGTTCAGAAGAAACAGACACACAGCCACCATCTGATACAGAAAGAGACAACAGGAAGTCTTGAGGCTACAAAAGGAGAAGGAGGAATCAGAACAAATCTTGTGTGCCTCAGTACCACATTATGGCAGCTGTTTTATCCTGTAGAGGAAAAGAACAAGGAAGAAATTCAGATCAGTGTCTTAAATGGTGACATTCTGAACAGCCCATCACACACTCAAACTGTCCTGATCACTAGAGACCCCATGTCCCAGGGTTCTATCCTCTGACCTCAGGTCCTTAGGGTGTCACTTTTTAAAGCTGTAACACGAGGCTGGACATCCTTGAAACTTGACCTCCCAGTGGAAAGAGACTCAAGAGCAGATCTAACTCGCTGACACTGGAACTAAACGAGGAGGTAAGGGCTGGCTGAGAACCTCCATGGGCTCCTGCGTGTACTGGCACAGGTGTCTCAGGGGTGAGTGCTCAGTGTAAGGACCGGCTAGCCTGACCACAGCTGCCTCACATGTTACCCCGGGATTGATCCTTTTATTAGAGCTAATGGCAGAATCAGGATCTAGAACACCTGGAGGACTCCCCTGGTCTATATCTCAGGAAGTTTCCAGAACTGTGACTGCAGATTCAGAGGAGGATGAGGAAGCATGATGGAGGACTGCACATGTGGAGGACTAACTGAACTCCTGCATATCTGTTCCCACAGGAACCTTCCCATCTGACCTGTGAGGATCTGGTCTCTGCTACCTCTGTCATAGCAGAGATGAATCTGTTCATTATTTCCTTTATGCTTCACAGTGGAGTTAATGTCAGCTCATCAGCACAAGACACAGTGAGAAACTGTGTGCATGAAACTTTGGTCTCATGTGGCAGGGCACACTCTCAGCTGGACTTGATATTCCCAGGGATTCATGAGCTCAGACCCTGCCCTTTCCTTACCTTTAGTCTTCCTTTTCCATATCAGAAAAGTCACCACAGCTCCTATAAGCAAAGCTCCAAGAACCAGGCCAGTAACAATTGTGATGGTGGGTACAGAGGGCTGAGGAGGCTCTGAGGGAAGGATGGAAGGAACAGTGAGGCCTCTGACCTCCAGCTGTCAGTCATGACCCTGCTCCAGTTCCCCAAGAGCTCCCGCCCTCACTGTGAGAGGCTCCCTGCTCACTCCCAGTCCTCACCCCATCTCAGGGTGAGGGGCTCAGGCAGCCCCTCATGTTGCACATGACATGTGTAGCTCTGTTCCTCCCCAGGAGTCACCCCCACATCTGCCCACTTCTGGAAGGTCCCATTCCCTGCAGGCCTGGTGTCCATTATTTCCATATCCTGGGTGTGGTTGTGTCCATTTCTCTGCCAGGTCAGGGTGATCTCAGCTGGATAGAAGTCCAGGGCCCAGCACCTCAGGGTGATTGTCCCATCTGCTCTCACCTTATGGGTCACATGTGTTTTGGGGGGGTCTGAGGGAAACAATTGGAAAATTAAGGCATTTTGCATTATTCTCGTGCATCCAGCAAATCTTGTGTGATGTTTGGATTGGACGGGAGAAATGCAGACTCCACATATCAGCCTAAAGTGCAGGGCATGACTAGGACAATATATTCCTCGGAAACTTTGAGAATCTGTGAGAATCAACATAGAACAGGAGCCTTTAGATCTCTCTCTAGGATATGGACTTCTGGTTCTGACTGGGTAGGGATGGAGACACTCAGCAATTCCGGAGTGAGACCTACACAGTCATGGTGTGTGAACAGTTAAGAGGTCTGTGAGAGGCCATGGTTTACAGAGCAAATGGGAGGGAATTGTGGCTTATTGTACAGACTGAACTGTCCTGACAGAAGGGTGAGCCCTGGGCGAGTCTCTCTTTCATGTTGAATCAGGAAACCCAGGAGTACTCTTGCACCTTTGTTGCAAGGCAGAGTCCTTATCCCAGCTGCTCCCAGATGAGGAGGACACCTCAGGGGACAGGAGCTCCAGTCTCAGAGCAGATGGGCAGGTTCCCTTCCTTACCTGTTCTCAGCAAAATCTCCTTCCCATTCTTAAGATGTGTTTGGAGAGTCTGCACGCAGATGTCCTCTAGGAATATCTTCAATGATTCTGCAAAATCGAGCATCATCCACTGGTACCTGATGATTTTTGCTGCCTTGCCAACCGCAGTCCAGGTGTTCAGGTCCTCATTCAAGGCAATGTAATCTCGGGCATCATAGTTTAATTCGTAGTATCCGCGACGGAAGTACCCTTCCGACAGGGCTGTACATCCATGTATCATCTGGACTGTGTGATATCCTGTCCAAGCCCCCACTCTCAGTCACTCCCACAGGCCAGGCCCCTCTATTTGGTGAGCCCAGCCCATTTGACTCCTAATTGACTATATTTGGACTTAAGCTACACAGAAATTCAGGTCAATGTCCTATGGTTCTCTGGAGCCTATTCTCCAGGGGCCACATTTTCTGAGGGTGGACCAGAGGCAACCACTGGGGACCTTGAAGTTTGGGTTTTCTGATTGGAGTTTACTCACCAGTTGTGCTCTGGTTGTAGATGTGGAGCACTGCTTTCAGTTCATCTGTTAATTGCTTTGTGAGATTCAAGGCTCTCTGAGTCTCATACTCCCAAAACTCTGGCGTCTCCTGATGCATCCATGGAGCATGGGGTCTCATCCTTGGCTTGTCTGTTCTGCTGTTGTATCCCATGAACTGTGTGTCATCCACATAGCCAAGATAGGTATACTGGGATTCCATAAAGCCATGCCAGGTTAGGAGTGTTTGGAAAAACAGCATCGTGTGTGAACCTAGTGAGGTGGGCCTTTAGATTTAGATCCCTACCTTCCAACTAGGATCCCATGCTGGTGCATGGGGGCTCCAGTTGGGAGGGGCTTCAGCAAGGGTTAGGGGTCAGAATTCAGAATGGAGAAGGGAACACGCTGGTCTACCTGGGGTAGAGAGGAGACGAGGTTCCCTGGTGATGCTACCCTAGGGTAAGGGTCTTTATGCTGCTCTGGGTTAGTTCTTTTCCCTCCCGACACCAACACTCACCCTCTAGATGGTTGGTCAGGGCCAGCTTGGCCATGAGAAGCAACAGGAGAGCCTGGGGTGCAATGGTCTTCATGCTGTAGGATGAGTGCAGACCGAGTCTCTGCTTTGTCTGTTCATCGTACATTCTTGATGTGGAGGAGTGTGATTGGCTTCTCTAAGAATTCCCAATGGTAGTGAAACAGACCTTTTGGATTGGGCCATGGAGAGAGGAAAACCTGGAGGAGGACTCTCTAGGGCCCTGCTTCTTCAACTCAGATCCATCTCTGTGTCCTGGCATCCTGGGAGCAGTGTTGGACGGCAAGTCGCATACTTTGATCTTTGTCCTGCTTGTCCTGGTCACAACATCCTTTGAGTCCTGCTCAGAGGCCATTGAGTCACCAATTCTCAAGCATGTATATGTCTTGATGTCTACATAGTTTAGAAATTTATTTGCTCTCCAAGGCACTCAGGATCATGTATTGATCCATGTTCATCGTGTTAGGAACTGAGAATTTTCGGGACATTAGCTTAATTGAACACATTAATAACAAAGTGCATGTAAACAGAATTTTTGCAAAAAGTAATGGGTATTTTCCAAAGTATAATGATATGATGAAAAGATGTTTACATTTCTGCCTGCCCTTGTCCTCATCTTTACCACTAAAAATCCTTTGGATTCGGATTCTCAGTTTTATTCACAATATGCAAAATGCAGTTCCACAGGAATATGTAGAAAAATTACTTTTAGGAAAAATTTCAGTTTGTGCTTATGTGAATGTGTGTCTATGTGTATGTGGGTAGTGCAATTGTCTCTGGAGGCTAGAAGAGGGTGTTAGAAATCCTGGAGGAGGATGCACAGGAGTTGTGAACTTCCAGGACTCCAGCTCTGTCCATGTTACAGATTAGCCATCTCTGCAAGCACAGCGGGGATACTTTTATTAATGTCTTCAGATCATTTTTCTTTCTTTTGAGGCTGACCTACAACTCACAGACATCCACATTCCTCCTCCTCTGGAAGTGCCTAGTTGAACATGTGGGCTATTTTCCTGGGCTAATTGGTGATATTTATCATTGATGTTTCACTAGGTTGACACAGGTGGTGCCTACATTCTGGAAAATACAACAAAATCCAAATTTTTCGTGATTTGTTGCATCTATCTATGTCCACAGCACCTCAGGTTCCCAGGCTTATATTAACCTACAAGACATGTATGTTTACCACTCTGGACTCTCCTCATCCACATAGAGAGAATGGCATGCCAAGAAGATAGTCCCTAACTGAACTGTGTTTGGCCAAAGCCAAGATTCTGCATCTCTCTCTCTCTCTCCCTCCCTCTCTCTCTCTCTCTCTCTCTCTCTCTCTCTCTCTCTCTCTCTCTCTCACACACACACACACACACACACACACAGACAGACAGAGTGGATAGAACTCTTGGTTCTTCCCACTGTGTAGTTTTTTTCAACATACTTAAGAAATCTTCACTTTTTCACCATAATATAAACTATGAATCAATTATTTCTCCCAGCCCCCTCTGCAATCACTTACAGCAATGATAAGCTCTACGCTCTTGGGAGAACTTTACCAGTTTGAGAGAAATTTAATCCTTCACCATAGCCTTGATCATGTCTGAATACTTACAAACTTTTCTGTTGCAATTTGTGATGATATTAGCAGGTAAGATTTGATAATGTTTACTTAAATGTACGAACACTGAAAGAGTTCTAAACTTGGTCAACAACATGATCTAACAGTGTTAATAAGAATATTAACTCTCCCTGTGGCTGAAGAGATGCCTAAACTGTGTAGAGGACCACACTGGAGCCTCAGAGGTTGGGAACTCGCAAACTCCTCTGTACCTCACTCCTGGGTTTCTCTTTTTAATTATTTTTATTTAATCAATGTTTGTTTTCTTTCATTTTGCACACTGCCTCCAATCTAACTCCCTCCCCATCTACTTAACTCCTGGGTTTCTAACAACCCTCTTCTGGTCTTCATAGAGAGCTGTATTCTAATATTCACACATACACAGATACATAAATACACACATTAACAAAATATAAAAATATACTCTAAAAATATCCTTCCTGTTCATTTCTGTAAAGGTACCTGTGAAGGTTCCTACCCTGCACATAAACTACAGAGTTCAAAAGGAAACTCAGAATCCAAGGGATTGTCTAGAGGGATGAGAACAAGGGCAGGCAGACATGGAAACATCTACTATTTTCATCATATTATTGCCTTTTGGAGAATAGTTGTTGCTTATGGTAAATATTCTGCTTTCGTGCATATATGCACTTTATTATTAATATTGATCAGTGATGCAAATGTTGCATATCTCACATTTCCTAATGAGGTAAACATGCATTGATATAACACCCATATTGAGGAGTACCTTTGGGTGGATTAATTTTCAAGGCTGTGTAGGCATTCTGACATTCCAGTGTTTGATAATTGTTGACTCCTTGGCTTCTGGTCTGTATTTAGAAGGTTTTGTGGCTAAGACCAGGGGATCAGAATTAGAGTAAGCATTTCGTCCTCAGACACTGCATTAGGATCCTGGGCACCAGGGCTATATCTGAGCTGGGGAGGCAGGGCCCTAGAGATTCCTCTTCCAGGAGTTCAACTTTACCATTACCCAAGCCCAATGGATCTCTATCACTACCATTGGGAATTCTTAGAGAGGCCAATTAGTCTCCTCAATGTCAAGACTATTAAAGTGAACACAGACCAGCAGAGACCGTGCTCTAACTCACGAAGCAGGATGAAGACCCTTGAGACCCAGGCTCTCACTCTACTGCTCCTGGCTGCACTGACTCTGACCTAGTCGCCAGAGGGCAAGTCTGGAGAGAAATGCTCCAACTTGGGAGAGCAGGAATCCATCCCTGCAGGGGCAGTAATAGGGGAGGCTTGTGTCCTGCCTAACCAAGCCATAAACCTCTGCTTCCATTTCCATTAAGCATTCTTAGCCCTGCTGCCTTGATACTCCGCACCCACCCTGCACCCCCTCCCACATGGGTTCCTAGGAGGAGGGCTAGAATTTCACCTAGGGCTGCCCCTAAGCCCCAAACTCCTTGCTCTATTTCCAAAGCCTCTTGACCTGGCTGAGTCTCGTGGAGCCCCAGTACATTTTGCTGGCTATGTGGACTACACACAGTTCCTGAGATTCATCAATAGACCAGGGACCTCAGACTTGGATCCCCACATGCCATGGATGGAGAAGTAGGAACCAGAGTATTGATAGAGGCAGACACAGAGCCCTGAGAGTTGGAAAGCACTTCACGGTAGAACTGAAGACAGTGCTACTATACTGCTACTGTACTATCTACATCCAGAGTGCCACTAGTGACTGAACCCTCACCAGAAGTCCCAACCTTCAGGGTCACCATAGGGTCACTCTTGGTCACCACCTCTGATGTTTATTGCAGAAAATGTAACAAGGAGCCGGTAGAATCCAGAGAGCTATGTGACACTGACTGGGTTTAAGACGAAACCTGGTGGGTTAGAAAGGCCATGTGAGTGGAGAGGACCCACTGGAGGGTCTCACTAAGGGAACTGGTGTTGTGGGAGTGCCAGGATATCTTACAGTCCAGGGGAAGTATGCTCTGATATACTGCCTGGTGGGAGCTACTACTGAAGACAGTGTGAATTAGCCTACAGTGGCCTGGTCCAGTGACCTCAGGAGCATTAGGAGGAGAGCCTGGGGAACAAGTACGTTCATCCTGTGTGATGGGTGGAGACTGACTCTGCTAGTCTGTGTTCACTTTATAATAAGTCTTGATACTGGGGAGGCTGATTGGTTCTCTATGAGTTCCCACTGGTAGTAACTAGAGTGTTTGGATTGGGTTGTAAGACCCTCAGAATGAGAAGTCTCCCAGTTTCGGTGGGTATCCCCAAGAACTCAATGTCCACTCCAGTTGCTGCAACATGCAAGAGGCTTTAATAAACATTTGTGCAAACGGGCTCCTCCAGCACACAGGCTAGAGAGAAGCAGCTCCCCCCCTCCCCGCCACAGGTGTTTTTAAAGGCAAAACTCACAAGCTTAGGGAGGGGGTGGGATCCTCTGTCCATTGAGTACCTGACCCTTTGAGGCTGGATGGTCTTGCTATTAGGGTCAATAGACCTTAGGGCCTCAGGGTGTGCTAATTAATCTTGTCTGGGCAAACTGGAGGTGCAGTTATCTCTTTGTTTCTTAAGGACCTTATTCACCACCTGCTGACTCACAAGAAAGGAGGGGCAGTGTGAATTCTTGGTATCATGTTATCTCAGGGCCTTGTGAGGGGAAGTTAGCAAATTCCAAGGAACATATATTGGTTTCCAGGTTAGTGCTTCATTTCAAGTGAGGGGTTTCTTTAACTTTACTTTTTTGTCTTTCAGGGTCATGGAAAGATGAACTTCTGGAAGAGGAATCTTGAGGACCTGCTTCCCTGGCTCAGATCCAGCTTTGGGCCTTTAACCTGGGGCAACTCCTGGGCATGAGTTGCCTTACCCTGCTCCCTGTGGTCCTGGTGCTGGTGTCAGCTCTTTCTGTATTCAGACCAGATGCCCACGAGTAAGACATTCTCAAACATTGTGATGTCAGGATCTCTACAGCCTTAGAAATAAACAGCCCCCAAAGATATTCATGTTAATAGACATTGTATCAGTCCATGTTTTCCACATTAGAATTGTGAGATTTGAGACAACTGCTGCATCAAACATGCCAATAACAAATTCCATGTGACTAGAATGTTTAAAAAAGGAAATTATGTTTAGAGAGATGGCTCAGAGGTTAAGAGCACTGACTGCTCTTCCAGAGGTCCTGAGTTCACTTTCTACCACCACTTGGTGGCTCACAACCAACTGTAATGTGATCTGATGCCCTCTTCTGGTGTACAGACAGAACACTGCATACATAGTAAGTAAAACAAAACAAACAATAATTCTTAAAGGAACATTATGTATTTTCCAAAATATAACAATAGGGTGAAAATAATACATTTTAACACTTCTGTCTGTTTCAATTGTCATTTTTTCCCACTAGAGACCATGTGTATTCTGAGTATCCCCTCTCATCTTTATGTTGTATTTACAGTGTAGAAAAGGCAGTTTCCCAGAAATATAAAGGAAGGACATTTTAAGAATTGGTTTTACAGCTGGACAAAACA